GATATTGTGTTCGCGAATCAAGACCCGTCGTGGAAGTCTGACGACCTGCCTCAGTGGCGGCGTTCGCAGTTTGCTTGGTTCCAAGAGACCCGACGGCTCGTTGAAGCACAACTGATAGAAGGACAGAACCGCTCGGCGGCAGCGGTCGAAGCGCGGACGCGTACGGAATTTCAACCCGCAGACTCTGTCTGGTTGTACCAATACTTCAGACGGTCGACGAGTACGGATGACACGCGGATCAAGAAGCTTGGTTACCATTGGCACGGTCCGTACCGAATTTAATTGCCTTCACACCCCGATCGCGTGGTGCCGATTAACGTTGACCGACTAAAACGGTTCCAAGGGTATGGATCACGTCCGATCGACGATGAGATACCGCTGCGGTTGTTGCACAATTCGCCGGAACACGACGAGGGCGACGCCGACGACGACGAGTTGTTGAGCCAAGAGTTGTTGCCGGCCTGCAGTTTTGTGGATCGCGCGCTGTTTCCTGACGGCGATCTGGCCTATACCAATGTCGAGTCGGCTGTTTCGAAGATCCTCAACAAGCGAAAACGAACCGATGGCGAGCCCAAGTACTTGGTGCTGCATGCGGATGGCAACGAGTATTGGACTCCTTGTTCACGCCAAGTGGAGTATACCTCGTCCATCACGGAGTACGAGAACTCGAAGCGAGTAAACAAAGGATTGCCACCTCTCCACCGAACACCGAAGTCCGCGCCTTGCCGAACTCGACACGGAACCTACGGAGGTGTTCGAGTTCTAACCAGGTTTGCACTCCAACCGACCAATTATATATTAACTGCATGTATTACGTTTACAAAAAAAAGAGAGAAAAAAAAGGGAGCCCTGAGACCAAGAAGACAAAGTGAAGCCGAGGTGGTCGTTTTCAATCTTCGTCATTGTGTCCGTCGTCCCCTTCGCTGGCGCTGTAGTTTGGATCGTCGTCTTTTTCCTCGGAGTCAGAGTCGGAGTTGTCCAAGTCGAGGATATCCATCATGGGGGCGCGCAGCAAGGGGGAGTCTTTCCAAAAGACCACGTTGGCTATCTGGCCGTTCCACGAGTACGTTGTTCTTGGAGCGATCACCTCGTTCGTCCATTCGCGACTCAACAGGTCGTCGGGGAAGGTCACTGACACGAAAGGGTACGGTTCGTTACGCCATGGGCGCCCCGCGTCGATGAAGTTCCTCGATACAGTCGCGAGGCGGCGAATCATGCTCACCGCGTCGACTATACCCTTCTTCCGCGCTTGATTGGCCATGAAGGTACGGATTTTTCGTTGAGCCAAGTACGCCACGGAGTCGCCCAAGCCGCGGTACCAAACTTCGTTCCCTGCCTTTCGTAAGTGCGGGATCGGCGGGGCTTCGGGCCAGAATCGAACCGATGGATTCACCCAGTAGTTCATCACGATGGCGCTCCGCCCTGGGTCGCCCGCTAGGATCTTCTTTGGCGTTGGCGGGTTGAGTGACAAGACTGGCCAAGCCGGGTGCGGGAAGCACAGAAATTGGACAAGGGTGTCGTCGTAGTCGATGTTGTTGATCAAGAGCTGCAACTCGACATGGAGGTTAAAGACCTGATGGAACAGGGGGTCAAGACGGTTGGAGTTGCCGAACGGGGCGTAAGTCCGTTTCCAGAGTTGTTGCCCGTACCGATCCCAAAAGGTGGCCACGCTTGTGTTAAACCGACGCACGTGCTGTCCCTCGGTCTGGGAGAATTGATCCGACCCGCTGATAGCGTTCCCAGGGCTTCGTCGCTCGTACCTACTCGTAAACGTCCAACATCTCTTGCGTGAAGCCAGGTACGGAGTGTACTGAGGGATGCTGACTGAGGGAGGTTCTCGGGTTCTTTGAAATACGCTTGAACTCGTTGCCCGAAGGCTGAAGTTTCGGATGATACGGGGGTGGATTTTGCTCTCATCGAGGGGCGTCCGTCGTCGCCGGCGCCGCTTGAAGACACTTCCCGTTGGGCCGCACTTTTCCCGTTCGGGCATGCTCCGACTGTGATGGCTGCGGTGTCAAGGGCCGTGACTGCGCCGTCGCCTATGGCTCGTCCTTCAATCTCGTTGGTACTTGGCAAGGCTTGACACTTGATTGGTACGTAAATGGATACAGAAGCCTTGGCGGTGAACGGAGGAATTTTGACGATGTCATTCGTTTGGGGTGCGGTGGGGGCTCCTGTCGAAATGTGGATGCCGTGCGCGGCACGGAGGCGTTGCATCACTGTGATTGGCACTCTACCCTTCGTCAAAAGGACACTGTACGCTTCACACAAGACGGTCACGCTCTTGGGGTTCACCAGGACACATGTCTTGCACAGCCAGTTCCAGAACCGGTGTACGGATCGGATGCGAAGTTGTAGGTCTCGGTTGGCTACGTCGTTGGACCATCTTTACAGGAGTTCTTGGACGCGCGACTCCAATAACTCGTGACTGGCCTTCTTTTCGTTGTATACACGATGGTAGTCTGCTAGCTGTGTGCGTTGATGTGCATTCGCCTCTCGCAAGCGGGCCAGTTCCGTCTCCATTTCCGTGCGTTGCTGTTGCCAGTCCTCCGATCCCGTCTGTCGTCGCCGGTCGGCGGCTGCCGGGTTAAGTGGTCGACCTCCATGGTTAGGTTGGCCGCGGTCGTCAAGAGCGCCTGGGCCAGATTGCCGATGTTGGTCAGGTGTAAGTCGCGGTTGGGAGTCGTCACATCTAGGCGAAGAATGGGCGTAACGTGAGAGTGACGCTGAGCGGCCTGTCGGTTCTTTCGCTAGCGGTTTGATGTGGTCAAATCAGGAGATTTGAGTGAAGTCCGGAAGAATGTGACGAAAAGGTGCATATTGACGACTTTGATCAGTCGGGTAGTGAACAGGACATCCGGATACGGGGCAGCCTGATCGTAGAAGTAGCAACCTAACAATAGTTTTCGCTCTAAACACCCCACGTGTTTGCCGTTGTTCCAGCACGCCTCTCGACTACCCCATCGATATCTCTGTTGAGACCGCGTCGTTTCCCAAGCTAGAACCCTTTGGACTTGTTACGTTTTACGTGACACATTACAAAGTTTATAAACTGACACACAAACACCGTGCTGCGATTGATCTCGGTAATTTGAACGTTTCGGTTGAATTCGGATCCGTCCAGAAAGTCTTCATCGTACGTGTTGGATGGGGTCCGCATTGAATCAAAGCGACTTGCTTGTGATTGCCGTGAAGGACGAGGTGACTACGAGGTGACTGTAAATCAAACTCAATGCAAATCTATCAAAACACTATATTATTAGCTGTGGCAGAACATTCTGGTCGGCGCCGGTGTCTGGACAATAGGGTACTTCGAACACGACGTTGTGTCGAATCCACCGCTGTTTGCCGTCTTCTTCGGTCACCGTGGTTTTGACTACTCGCTTCGATTTCAATTCCGCCTTGCGCTGCTTGTATTTGAAGCGCTGCACCGCATTCTTGCCCTTTCGAAGGTGGTCGACTCGCTCCGAATCTTCTTTTTTGTTTGGGCATTTGTGCGCACGGTGTCCCGGTTGCTGGCATACAAAGCATAACGCGCCGCTGTCGTCTTGACCAGGGCCATACTTTGCTCGCTTGGCCAGCTGTTCTCTATCCTAAAACGGGCGCCGGGGTCCCATACTTATTCGTCGACGGCCCCCCGTCGCTTCTCGAGCACGAGGAGGTTCGTCACGTCCACGGTCCACCGGGGACGGCTAGGTGTAACCGCCTTTTTGGCGCGGGGCTTTTTCCGTTCTGGTAATACGCTTCACGTTGTATTGCTCGTTCTTGAGCTGGACTCTGGTCTTACCAGTTCCCTGTACTTTCTCGTCCCAATCACGTCCTCGCTTGCGATGGCCACTTCGTGACTTCATTATCAACTCCGCCTGATACGTTCGCTCGAACTGTACGGCCGCGATCAAATTCCACCAGAGTGCTGGCTTGGACAGTCTTCATCTGTTCTTCGACTCGGTCGCGTACATCGAATGGTGTAATACAAGAATCCACGGCCTTGATAAATGTCTTGAGTAAATTCGGGGGCTTGAGCTGTGACTTCCATCCCCTCGTGTCGATGATGTTGTTCACTGGCTCCATTAGTGACACCACGCGACTTGCCACATCGCCAAAGGGGTCCACACGCAATTTCTTGCATTGTTCCCCATTTCGGCCTTGGTGACGGTCCACTCGTTCGCCAGCTCGCCCATGATCATGCAGATACGTTCGAAGAACTCGTTTTCATCCAGGTTATCCATGCTGAGGTCGGCTGACTCGAACCAGGGGACTGCTGTAGCGCGCCACTAATGTCGCAGCCTCTGGGCATTAGCCTTGAGGTTTTTTTTCATACCGGTCGCGCTAGTGCTTCCATGCCACCAGGGATTCACAGTCGACAGTAGTGATACTGTAGGAGGGTACTCGATGTCTTTCAGCGCCAATAAAGGTCCACCCAGGTATGGACCACTCACCGGAGTCCATCCTGAATTTCCCGGTTGCGATGTCCATTGTTGCGACACTAGCTGCGACCTCAATGAGTCAAAAGCAACTGTCAGTCGGCGCGCATGCTTCTGCCTTGGCCTGAACCACGTAGTTCACTTTTTCGTTCTTCGGTATCGCTTTGCGATTTCACCGACTCGCTCCGCGTTGGCCTTCCAACGTTCGCCTTCGCTTCATTGTAATAGGAACTGTCGGACTTGCGGTCAGGTCGATAAGGTTTCGCCGTCTTGGCTCACTCTTCTGTAACCACCTCCTGCCGTTCTTGGTGTCGTATCATCATAGTTTACCAACTCGACGTAATCGCATTTCAATGACTTGGTCATTGATCGCGGCGCCGGTATATTGCTCGCCGTGTTGGGTGATGGGTGTTCTTCTTTGGTTTCATATTCGACCGGCTGCATGGTCGATATCCCACTCGCTGGGTCCATCGCCCGCTCCTCGGTTTTTGCTGTTTCCTGATAGCCGCCGCGGTCGGCTTCGGGCTCTCTGAGCGTCTACCCTTCCGCACCATAAGTTTGTACGTTTTTCTTTTGGGGACGTGCTTCGGCTTTGCGTCATTTCTCTTAGTATCGCAGTTGTAGATAACTTGAATAAAAGGAATTTATGTTGTTTCCTGCACTACGCCAACACACCAACCAAATGGGGGAGCGCCGCCTCCCGTGAACCACGCACTTGATTGATATGTCCGTTGCAGAGCAAAACTAGAAGTGAGCTTCTGTAGAAGTGGTAGGTGGTCCCACGGTTACTGATTGGCTGACCATGGTGACCATTCGACTATAATAGCTGGGTAACCTTATGCGGAAGTAGTTTTGTCCCGAAATAACCCCTGAAAATACCTGTTCGCGGTGATGTTAACGGGTCTTTATAAATAATAAAGGATTTTATTTGTTCTGAAAGGTTTATTTGACCGAAGTAGTTGCGATCGACATAATTGTATTTCGTAGGAATCCAACAACAACATTTAAATAATTTATGCGAAATACAAATGTGCTAACTAATGACTACTACCTCTGTTTTGCAAATATTGCAAGTAGACATCCCGCTCAATAATAAATCTAAGTATACCGAATCTGAATATAATAAATTTCTGGAACCATATCGCATACCCAGCTCTGATAGGTGCAGTCTTTCACTGCAGCTTCAGCCTTCATTGCTTCCATGCTTGTGGGAAACTATGGGAAAACGTTCAATAAATCTGGATACCGTTCAGCCAAGACTGAAAACCGTTCAAGCAAATTTTCTTCCCGTAACCCCATAACCTCGGGACTTCATCCTACACCCGCGTGCACATACTTCGAAGTATAATACTAAATCCCCTAGTATGAGTTGAGGTGGTCAGAGTACAAAACATATGCCATCTAACTAGTAGTTTGGACGGTTTTCAGTCTTGACTAGACGGTATTCAGACTTGTTGAACGTTTTTCAGGGTTAGTCCCATAGTATCAAAGCGCATCACCAGTGGTTAGCTATCACTAACCACGGAGATACGCTTAACCCCTAGTATGAGTTGAGGTGGTCAGAGTACAAAAAATATGCCTCATCTAACTAGGGTTTATTAGTCTGAACGGTTTTCAGCTTGCTGAACGGTATTCAGATTTGTTGAACGTTTTTCAGGGTTAGTCATGCTTGTGCTCAATGGGCTTGAAATCCTAACGCAACACTATATCACGATAAATGAATTGTAATAGCTTAATATGAGATGTCGAAGTCCTTCAAACAGTAAATACCCATTAATGGTTGTGTTTGCATCAAGTCCCTAGGTTGATTGTGAAGATTTTTGGCAAATGCAATGCTTTCTCAAATCTAGTCCTCATTTCGAATAATTTGACTGATACTTTTGAATTGGAAAGTAGATGGTTGTGGTTTCACAGCGAAATCGGAATATATAATTCGAGAAAATATACACATGGATTCGTCTGACCAATAGGAACGCAACACACCCATCCGTTTGCCAATCAGAGATCTGGAAGTATCCCATCTGAAACTTCTTGCAATATTTGCAAAACAGAGGTATTAATATTAAAAGTACAAAAATACAACCAATGATACTTTAGTAAGACCATGGGTACTTACAGCGGGTGGCCGAGAAGCTGAACCTAAACCACTTGTTTCACTTGACAGGAATTACTAAAATTACTACTTTCCTTCATATTTTATCTTTGTTTGTTTGGTGAGGACAACATAAAACATCTAGTTCAATAATTGAGTCATATTATATTCAACCTGAAAAAGGCGTACGTACAATGCAAAGTTAAATTATATCAGAAATGACATATACTGAGTTCACAACGGTTAATTGAGTTTGGATTATCATTTTTAAGACATTCCTCCGCGAGGGCCGACACTAGAACCACATGTTATGGAACTGCTACGCCAATTGTAACGCGCCTGCTCGACCAGGGGCGGTGTGTAATCTTCGGTTTTTACTTCGCTCAACGCTTCATACCTCGTGTTTCGACCGATCTTCTTCGAAGCTCGGTCCTCGTCTTCATACGCAGTCTTTGTTATCCGGATTCCCCAGGGGAGGGACGGATAAATCCTTGCGAAATAATCCAGGGAAGCC